TTGCTATTGCTATTGCTATTGCTATAATGGAGATACAATATGAGTGAAACCAGCCCAACACAGTTCTATCCTTAGGAGAGGCTCCCAATCAAAGTGCATGACCTCTGTACCAATCTGATGACTGTAAATATAATTAACCAATAGTTGGTTGGGCTTTGGTCATCTGTTTTTCCAGATGGAACTATATCTTTATCATTTTTTTGTTTAATCAAAGTTTTTTTAATGATTTTTTTTTGGGGGGGGGAGAGTTGGTTACTTTGTTTAATCAACAACAAATAAATCAGCTGGCAATGGTTTTCATTCTGCAACCCTTCAACATGATCAATGAATTGTATAATGCCTTTTTGTGAATGAAGTCGATGATTACTGGGACAAGAATTGGGCAAGAAATTAATATAGCTCTTATTAAAAGATGTAACCGACAAGCATCAGCGGGAGAGGTAGCAGATGTCAGACAAAAGGACGGAGCGTATTGTCCAATGGAATCACAGTTTTGTTCATTGAATTATCAATGAGTGATAGGAGCATTTAAGAGACATAATAGACAACTTAATTCTTGAATAAGCAATACATTGAGCATTGCAACATCAACAGGCAATTTAACATGAGCAATTGGATAGAGCAGAACTTTATGTTCTGAGCTAGGCTTCCTGATAAAGCATGAATCACAGGCTTAGTCCCCAAAAACCCTTTTATTTAAACGGCTGTGAATTATGGTCATTCACAGCCGTAATGATTCATGAATAGTCTGTGAAGAGTCCAGCAGAAGTCTGCCACAGTCTTTCAAGGTAATGCTGATAAGCACCCGCCTTTATCTCCCTTGAAACGCTGCCAGAGATTTAATTCCAATTAGTTTTGCAAGGCCAAATAGAGCACAGAGTCAAACGGAGCTTCTCAGAGTTTGAACCGACCAGAACGAACTAATTCCTTCCTTCAAAGGCTCTCGTCTGTTTGCTCCTCTTTTATGTCTTATGGGAGGGGCCAATCATCTCCAAGCCTTACTCCCGAGTCGCCCCTTTTTTCTTAACTGTTCTTGCCTTCTGGCAGCTCTGTGCAGGGAACAGGCTCCCCCTGTTCCTCTGCCTTGCTGATGTCAGACTCCGGAGGCTCCAGAGGCAGCACAACACTTCCAGATGGCCTGGGCAGAGCCCTCATCCGAGCCTTCCTCAGACTCCAGGACTGGCCCATGTTCCTCCCCAACCTCCCCAACCTCCTCACTGCCAGCTCTGCAGGCTGCTGGCGGACCGCAGCACTTTCTCACCTGAATCTTCAATCAGAGAATTGTTGTTTTTAAACCAAACGATGTGTGGGGAAGGAATTCCACTTGCTGTGCAGACAACTTCTATTGTTTTGCCAATGTTTGTTGTCTGATTCTGAGGGTGTCCTGTAATTGTAGGTGCCACTGGTTCTGTTTGCAAGAAAGACAGATGTTAACAGCAGGCCCTGAAAGGCAAACCTGAAAGCAACCGATGCTTCATTATAATCAATGGGAGGAACACAATGCTTAGGAGCCTTGCTAGAAGTTCTTTCTTGAAATTGCAGAATGAACACAAAATGTTCCAGCATAAATACATGGAATTTGTTTGTGTCCATTAATTTATTTCAGAAGCACAACCTAAATCCCTGGGAGACATGAAAACAGCCAGAGGTGGGCATTACATAATGTAACAACCGGTTCACCCAGAACCAAAAATGTGAGCATGCGCGCCACTTCAAACACATGGCGATTATCATATTTTTCGGAGTATAAGACGCACCTATTTCCCCCCAAAAAGAGGCTGAAAATCTGGGTGCGTCTTATACACTGAATACAGCATTTTTGGCCTGCTGAAACCCTTTGAAAAAATGGATGTGCAGAGGGTTTGGGAGGCAAAAATGAACAAAAAAACGGACTGTTTTTGTTCGTTTTTGTCCCCCAGCCCCCAGGAGCACTCTACAAGCCTCCCAAACCCTCTGCATGTCCTTCTCCTTTTTCTGCAAAAAAATGAGACTTGCAGAGGGTTTGGGAGGCCTCCAGAGTGCAAAAATGTTTTTTGAAAATTTACCTCTTCAAGATCATGGTGCATCTTATACTCGGTGCATCTTATAGTCCGAAAAATATGGTATATAGGACAAGATAGCACCGGGGCAGGTAAGCGGGCCCAGCCACTGGTCAGAACTACCGGTTCGCCTGAATCAGTCCAGACCAGCAGCAGCTGACCTCTCAATACAGCCCCTAGATAAATCTGATCACATTTAATGCTTAAGAGGAAAAGAAAAAGGAACGAATCCGGAATGTAGTCACAATAACTCAACTTGATTTCCGTTCACTTTAAACCAGGGGCGTCAAACTCAATTTCATTGAGGGCCGCATCAAGGTTGTATTTGGCCTTGGGGGGAGGGGGTTGGGGGGGCAGAGTGTGTGGCCAGGTGGTGTGGTCAGCTCGACATCGTTCATCAAGGCTCTGTTTTGCGCTGCGACAGCCTCCTGCCGTCCTCTGCCACCAAAAATGGAGTCTTGGAGGGTTCCATGTGGCCCACGTGAGCTCCATTTTTGCTGGCAGGGGCACTGCGGGCTGGTCCTTTGCTGTTTCCAAAGTGGTCCCATGATGGGCCACATCTAAGCACTCAGTGAGCCGAATCTAAGCCCACGGGCCTTGAGTTTGACACCCTTGCTTTAAATGACATCAAATACACTTTTTGTTCCAGCTCCCTCCACTACTTTTGGACTGTAGTTTCTTGCACATCATGCAGGTTCCAATGCAGTCTTTGCCCCCCCCACAAAGTTGCACAACCCAACCCAGTGACGTGCGGTGAGGTTTATGGCTGGTGAGGCACTGACACAGTGGTGAGTTTCCGATTTTTTTAGACTTGTGGATGACTCTGCTTAACTGTTTAAAAAAGCCTCTTAAAAAGCGCCCTCTACAGGAGGAGGCAGGAGAACGATGTGCCTCACCTATGTCAGGAATTTTTAGGCTTTTAACCCTTGCTTAACTCTGCTTGAGTGATCATAAAACGCCTAAAGTCAGACTAGATGAGGCACGTCATTCTCCTGCCTTCTCCTGTAGAGGGCACTTTTTAGAGACTTTTTTAAACAGTTAAGCACTAAGCAGAGTCATCCACAGTGACTCTGGCAGCAACTAGCTCAGCCTTCAGCTCTTGACTTTTTCCTTTTACATTTTTTTTCTTTTCATATTGACAGTGGTAAGGCTCTGCCTCCCCTGTCTCCCCTGACTGCACGTCCTTGCTTAGAGTGGAACATATGGAGTTTGCCCTAAGTTTCTTATATACCAAACACACATACACACTCACACTCACAGATGACATAGGAAGGGAAAGGAGAAACACACGCACACAGAGACACAACACTTATTTTGCTACAGAAAAAAAAGTAC